AGGTGTTAGCAGGTGTTAGAAGATGTTAGCAGGTGTTAGCAGGTGTTAGTGGCCACCAGCTGATGTTAGAGGAACATAACTTCAGTTGTTCACCTTAGTGTCATCAAATGTTTTGGCCTTGTAATCACCGATACAGGTGAGTATCGAACCTGCGAGCTAAAGGTAAATCTGACTGTCTTCTGTCTTGTATCAGTCTATGAGAGTACTATGAAAACCATGTGGACGCTCAGTAGATCAGACATCATTACCATGCAGTCCACTTTGAGGACATAAGACAAGATGGACAACATCCCTTCTGTGCTCTTCTCTTCATCTCACTGCAGCTGGTTCTGTCCAATCAGAGGTCGTGTTGGTGAAGGGGTCACCTGTGCAGGGGGCGGAGTCATGAAGGGGAGGTTATATAAGCTCAGAGTGTTTCCAGGTGAGTCCTTTGTTTGAACCGTGTGGCCTCAAGTAAGTTTGGTGATTATTCTGTTTTTAAGTTTGTTCTACTGCACGTTCGTTGAAAGTTCAAATAAAATAAGTCAATGTGGAAGAGTCGAGTGTTTAAATACGATTTCTGTTAGTTACTGAACTTAGTTAAATATTGAATTGTTATATATGTGGTTTTCTAAAATGGTTCTCTTCTCCACATGTTCAGTGAAATGAAGGAAAATGTTTGAGTTGTTGAATCTGAATGTTTTCTTTGAATAAAACTACAAATTAAAAAAATCTGTGTCTGATCATTTTATGTCCCAACATGTCTGATGTGATGTTGAGAACTTTTGAAAAACTTTGTGTTGCATGATCTTCAGATTTCAGATTTGTCTTCGAAACGTGCTGTGTTGAACTATTTGTGTTTTGTTCTTTAGATATTCAGAGATTTATAATCTCCTCGTGAACTTTAGTTTTGTAGATTTGTATTTTTGTATTAGTCATCGTTTGCACTTTAAGTTCATTGTTTTAATGTTTGATGTCTGTTTATTGTCTCCGTGCTTCACTTTGTTCATTAGATTTTTCTTGGTCCAGTTTTACTTTCTGTAGTTTTTACAGTTTGAACTTTTATTTTCTTGTGTTTAACTCTACTTGATTAAATTCCTCACACGTCTCTTTGCTGTTTTTCTTCAGATTCTCTGAAGGTGACACGATGACGAGCAGCAGCTTCGTGCAGCAGGTCAATCAACAGCAGAACAAACATTCTGGCTCCTGCAGGAACGTGAGTCACTGCAAACTTTTTTATTCTTTATTCTCCTGAGGTCTCATCAGTCTGTGATACTAATTCAGACACTGCCCCCTACTGGAGGAATGACCAGATTATAGCAGGTGTATGAGGAGAATGACTGAATGTATATAAAGAGTCTGAAGTCGTTTATGAAATACTTTTATTTTGCAAAAACCAGGAGCAGTTTTCAAATCCCCCCCTATTCTTTCAAAGCAAACATTGAATTTGATTCAACGATAAAACCAAGAAATGTCTCAGATTCTCTGTTTATGGAAAAAACAGAACAATAAAACAAACAGTAAAATCAGTGACGACGACAGAAGGCAGAACGTGAGCTGGAAAGTTTGTAGCATGTTTAAAAGGTGCTCTCAAAGAATTTAAAAAAAAAAAACTTCTGTATTTTAGATTTACACGTCGCTGCAGATTTTTATTACACAATAAATATTGACCCTGTAGAACAGAAGCTCTTTGTGCCATTTGGAGTCCGGGAGGGAAGTGAAATGGCTTCTGCTACATGTGAAGAACACGTGACTGGTGTTTAAACCTGATGTTTTATTGATGGAGAAATGAGAATAAAGAGGAAAGAAAACACTCGATGTCACAAAGTGATAGTGTCGTAATGAGAAGTATTTGATCAAAGTGGTGCAACCTTTTATA